GAAAAAATAAAACATTTAATGTATAAAAATTCAGAAATTAGTTAAGTAATTGTATTTAAAATTTAATTTTGATTAAATATTTAAGTTTATTAGCTAATTTTCTGCGTTGGAGGGGGAAAAAAATGTATCGATGGTTTATCATTAAGCAAATAGCACGAAATTTTCTATTTAAGAATATTTTATTGCTTGATAAATGTTAAAATTTATTTTATAAACGATTGAAAAATAATTTCACAACGAAATAAACGGGAAAAAATCTTTAATATTTATTTATTATTACACAAATATTATTTTCTTTCTTCTTATTGAATCACTTACTCCGATGATGAACCTGAAAGTTTCCATGTAAAATACATTAAATATATTTTTTTTTTCTAGTGAAAATAAATTAAAATTAAAAAGTTCCGTGCTTAAATAATATAAAATGAATATTAGTTTTAGCGATTTCTTTTAAAAATTTATAAATAAAACTACTTTTAATAACAGATTTTTCAACTTTTTCGAATGTCTCGACATCTTAATTTCTCTTCTACATTAGAATATATTAACAAATGTTATAAATATTATTATAATTCTTTAATTTTATCTTTAAATATGATAATGGCATTAATATAAAAGATTTTATAATGTAAAATTTGCTAAAAATAAACGTTTTTTTTTCTTTATTATGTAATACCACGTGTTTTAACGGAAACGGACCACGTGTCATTTGAAATTGATTAGTTTAAACGGGTTTTGAACTAGTTCAAAATTATGCTAATAAGATTCTACGAAAAGAGGACAAAGTTAAAAATAAAAATTTTAAAAAAATTTCTTATTTTTTTGTTATAAATTTAAATATAATTGATTCTTAAATAATTATACTTTATCCAGCGAATTAAATTAAGATTATCCCAATTAATAACTGTTTTGTCGAAAAACGAAAAAAAAAAAAAGAAAATCTTTAATAATTACCTTCTTATATACAATTATTTTTAGTAAATAAGTAATTAAATTCATAATTTTTAAAATTTTTGAGTGAATTTAGTCGATTTTCTTTAGCGTCAACTCTTATTTTGGACGAGGCGGAGGATTCGGGTTCGAATCCGGAATTTTTCGACCGGATTAGTCGGCAAATCCCGAGAATTTTTAGGGGATGTGTCGAGCCCTGTTCTTCACCACCCGGTTGTCCAACTGCGGACCTTTTTACAGGCCCACGACGGGCCTTTAAAAAAAGGTAATTTTAGTGCCCATGGAGCGGAAAAGAGCTGGGAAAAATGCCAAAATATTATGCTATTTTGGATTTAAAAATGCGATGTGGTAATATTTTACTGTACAATTTATTGAAAAAACTGCAATTAATGTTTCCAAATGAATTTTTTTTATTCGAAGAATCGTGGAAATATGCCAAAAGTAATCATCATATTCATGTAACAAGACTCTTAACATAAAAGGGTTCATTTTAAATAAATTTTTAGTGAAGTTTTGTCTTGTACTCATTTAATTTTTCATATAACTAAATGCGCTTTCAGAATTTTCCTAAGTTTGAATAAATCGATGAAGACAGCAATAACAAGATGTGCATCTCTTGAAGTAGGAACTTCTCTTACATTTCTATCTTACTGCCACTTTATTGATCCTTATTACTTCTACATACTTAGTATTTCAGATTTTGATATTTTAAACGACAACTCTCATTGTACAATTGTACTACAACTGTACAATCAAAGAACATGTGATACTTTTTTATACTAGTTTAGCGTTTGGTGAGGAGACTCGTTCTAAAAAATAACCTTTCTAAAACACTCAGAAAAACAAAAATATATAAAGAAATGTAAAAATAATAAACTCAAATACAGTAAAATCTTGTAGATATAAGAATGGGTCATCTGTTAATTACGTGTAGTGTACTGGTGGAATTCTAGAAGTACTGTACTGTACATCGCTGTACACTATTGCGAGAGAGGGGGTCAATCAAGTATTGTCTACGAGGACTTTTTTGTAGTGTTAATGTTATACGAATTTGTTCTTAAAAGCCTACTCACTAGGAAATATTTGCAGGACTTGTTTAAATCATTTCTTTAATGCCAGATGGTCCATGAACTATCATAATTAAAAGGGAGGAGGTTTCAGAAAGTTTATCATTGTGGAGACCAGGGAGAAAGATCAAAAATAACTTTTAACAAATGTATACGTAATTAATGAATAGCCTTATTGTATGATTGATAAATAAGGCAGAAGAACAAAAGGAAGATCTGTCAATATTTTTCTTCGGAAGACTTTTTATGAGGAACTGGCCCTATTTAAGTGTTATAAACACGAAGGAAACCCAAAAATCTTTAAGTGACCAGCTCTATGGTGAGGTGAGAACCGCGACTAACTGGTGGGAACTCTATAAAATGTATTTTAAATAGTTCATACAAGAGTGCCACTTCTACAAGTGCTCGCAAATTTTTTTTACATAAAAATTCAATATTATAGCAATAAATTGCAAATTTATATAAGATATACAACACCTTGCAATGATTATCATATTTATTTTTTAGAATAGAGTAAGATAAATATCTTAAAATCAATGTAAAGTATTTTATAAATTTTTAAAGAAGGATCAATTATTGTTTTCTCGTACGTATCAAGTGATATATATATATACAGTATATAGAGTTGTAATATATTTTCAAACTTGAAAAGTGTTTAGAGAAAAGAAGAATTTCTTCTTATATAAAACACTTATGAAGTTAAATTTATATTGTAAACTTTCATAAAGTTTCATGAATGTTTCATACTTAAAGTATGAATTCCTCACATTGCAATGATTTAAACATTGCCGCTACATCACCCCTAACTTAATATATCGTGTATTGAATAAAATATCACAATAATATTGTGATATATTATATATGACATTGCTACAAAATCATTTACAGGTGGATCGGGTTAAAGGTTATAGTTATACAGGTGTGAGAAAATTTCTAGATTTCGCTTCTTGAAAACATACGAGATCTTTCTTGGTTATTACAGATTTAGGCTTATTTTTTTTCGGTTTTATTTACTAATTTATTAAGGATTTATTAAATTTATGGCTTTAATTACATTTTATCTTTATATTTCAAGTTTTGCAAGTATTTATATCAGCAATTCTTAAATTTTTCTGGTTTAGATGCAAGAGAACTTAACTATTCTTTACATTTCTTAACGTAGTTTTAAGAAATTATTTAAAATTAGAATTAATAATTAGCGAAATTTTAAAATCTATTAATTTTATATATATTTATATTAAGATAATTATGTAAAATGAAAAGAAAATGAAAATACCATGGCTTAATCTTCAGAATGCGCACTTGTCCTTGAAGAAATGGATAAAGGCTTGACATATTGCTAAACGAATGTTGTCCTGATTATCTAGAATTAATAAAATATTGGAAATGTTGAATTATTTTTATTATATAATATTTTTAGCATTAACTTACCGATTGTTGCAGAACGTTTTCCAAAAATGCTTCCATTAAATGGCGGTCTTCTGCTTACTACCGTATGGATAAGAAGTAAAACTGAGAGGAAAACCAGCAAAGAAAAGCAAAATTGGATTTTGCACATGTTGACACTGCAAAAAAAGTGATATGGAATCGCATAAATTAACCATAAAACTAATAATAATTGCTGACTAGAAAACATATCGTATCCACGCTTAACATTATGCATATTTAATGGCGTTTAATTATTCTAAACACTTAAAACTGCATAACGATGACAGCAAAAACTATGGTAATGAAATAAAAACCTGTGGTAAATCTATGAAGCTAATTGATATATATACAATAAGTAAATCATTATAAAGGAACTGCACCACACTGTACAGTATGTATCACAGAAAGGGCATATTTAACATATCAATATCGGTGTATACTCACCAAAAACCCATTATTTTCTATGCTTACCGTTGATAAGATGGAACTTCCAAACCAGTTGTTGAACAGAAAGTGCCTTACACATGACGACATTCCTTATATAGGGCTTTTCTCTTCCTTGAATACAGAACC